AATGAGCACAAGCTCTAGAAAGCATTGCCCATAGCTAAAGTGCTATAATCTTCTGTGATTCTCCGAGTAGACAGAGCTATCCCGTGCACAGACGATCCACCGCCGGCCGTGAGTGTGCAAAACGAGCGAACGCTGGATCTGCCTGCATAGGAGTGCGCGTGTGGAAGTGGAAGTAATAGTGATCCAGTCTGTAGAGGGCAACCACGCCATTATCCATTATAGCTCTTTGTGGGGTGAGCGACAGAGAACATCATCAAGATCAAATCCCCACGCAGGTTATCAGCCGTACGCGGCTCTGCCTTTCTGCAGCAAAGACTACTTGATCTACTACGACCACAATGAACTCGGGATCAAGTCAAGATACGACAATGACTTTCGGTGCCGACGTGGCAGCGCCAGCCGTTGGTGAGTCAACAGCTGATGACACAGTGGTGCAATCTGTTGATAGCTCCACGGAAGATGACAAAGGTCAATCTTCTGCGCTTGCCATTGCAAAGGCAGTTCCCAAAGCAAAAGCAAAGAGTCTACCAAGGGCATCTACGCCTTCACGTCCGACATCCACAGGTTCGAGGACGAGCAAGGCTCCGGAACGACGATCCGAAGCGTCTGGTTTTCAGGCACCTCGGACTCCGTCGAGGGCAAAGGACAAGGGAGTGAAGACCTTGGAAAAGAAGCCGCGACCATCGTCTTCGAGAAGCTCTTCAGAACGATCAAGGACTTCGGCTACTCGTGGACGTGACAAGTCCATGACATGGAATCGGATGGTTACCAATCAACCACGCGATGCTGTCGATCTGGATATGACTCTGGACACTATTCCTGCACGTGGTGATGCTTCGTCGGTGACTACACCAGCCATAGCCGATGGTCCGAATGCCTACCAGGAACTGACGATTCCGCAACAGTTCGAAGCATCGAACCTTGCACAGCAGATGTACTATCGCAGTCAAGTGCAGGAGTATGAAGGAGTTGTCCAGACCCTGATGGATAAGATCAAGGAGATGCAACAAGAAGATGAAGGATCTGGGATTCGCATCGAAGAACTGGAACGACAACGTGATCATGCATGCTTAGCCATGAGGCACATTAACAATGTCAATCAGGAGATGAAGCGAGACTATGAAACAGCCTTGTTTCGCATGGATGAACAGAACTCTGCTCAACAACGTCAAGCACACACCGTTGCTGAGGAATTAGCCCAACAGCTACACGTGTTCCGCACGGAGGCAGCCACTAACTTTGTGCAGTTGGAGGCAAGGGCGCAGGGCGATGGTGAGCTTATGGCACGTGAGTATGAGCACCTTACTCACGAGCTTCACGAACGAGCCAGAGAGAATTTGTTCCTCCGATCGAACACAGCAAGTTCGGAACAAGCCCTGCAAGCTATGCAGGAGCGATTCCACCTGGTCAGGAATCAGGAATTGCGAGCCATGAACGAGATTCAGGGGCTGGCTGGGAACAGTGCAGCCATTGATCAAGAACGACTTCGGCTTCGCGAACGTCTTGGCGAGGAGGAAGAGTACCGTAAAATGGCTGTGAAGAGAATGCAAGATGCAGAGGACCGACTCCATCAGAACGAAGATCATGCAAGGCACGCATTGCCTACCTTGCACGACGAGCTGAGTGAACTCAGGAAAACGCTCAAAGCACAAGAAGATCTTCAAGCGAGGACACGCAGCGAATTGGAGGCAGCACGGAACTCCAGCTTCCATGTTGGAGTGGCACGGCCTTCGAGCATGCCAATGTCTTCGAGGACTACTGAGTCTGGCTGGGAGCACGTAGGGAAAGATGTAGTGCCTGCATTTTCCGTAGGAGGCGAGATACGATCCCCTGAAATACGATCCCCAAGTCAGATTAGTCCAGTCGCCAAAGAGAAGTTCGCATTCTCAGAATCGAACAAGGACAAGAACCTTGTGATGGATGGCATTCCGTTCACTGGTGGAAACTTCTTCACCGGTAACATCAAAGGTGAGGCCAGTAAGTCCTACACAACCCCAATGGTGGCTGATGCAATGCCCGAGCACTATGTGCCAGGCAATAGCAGCCCAGCACATGCGCGTTCCACGCCTAGTGCAGCCACTCTGTTTGGCATACCAAGCGGATTTCATGGACAAAGTGATGCGGCAGCTGTACGTGATCGACAGCTACGTGAACTCTTGGAGGATCGCGGGATGTTGGGATCAAAGTCCACAGCATCTGCCAGCTCTTCGAGGCCTGTTGATATCGACGGCGTCATCGCATCTATGAAGGGCAACGACCCCAATGTTGCCAGAAAGGCTACGCCTGTTACCTATGATGCCTCCATCCACGAAGCAAGGAGACTTCAGATCGAGAGGGAGGTCGCGGAACAGTACGAAGAGAAGATTGCTGATCTGCGAAGCGAAGTACTCAAGGCCCAGAAAGCTGAACAACGTCTCAGAGCTGATCGTGATGAGTGGAGACTATTCGCTGAAACGATGCAGGAAGACAATGGAGACGATGACGGCGATGAGGCCGGCGATGAGAACGAAGATGGAGAGCAGGGTGAAGGTGCCGGCACAGGGTACGACCCTCCAGATCCGCCTGATGATGACGGAGATGATAAGAAGAAGCCGGATCCTGACCCTCACGCGCGTGATCCTGACGGAGACGCGGATCCTGAGGTCACGGAGGTGAGGATTTCCAGGAGAGAGGCCGACAAAGTGACGGTCCCTCCATGGCCTGTCCTCACTCACCTGAATAACTGGAGGTCCGTATGCACGGCGAATGTTCTAGGAGCGTCAGCCGACCCAAATCATGAGGACTGGATGCTGTGGCTGGCACCAGCTTTCAATCCATTCCCTGATGTCGAAGCATTGAACGATTCAGGACACAAGAAGTTCAAGAGCATTGACGTCAAATTGGGAGTCGCCATGGTCGCGATGTTGCGCGCTGGTGGTGACAAATCTGCTGATCTGTACCTGGAGGTGAACCGGAAGGCCAATGATTACATCAGCAGGCCCGAAGGGAAGATCATCAAAGGACGACAAATCATTGCGATGATGTATGAAAGCTTCCGCACGCATGATCGTCTCGACATGATCATCACTCTCGAATATTTGGTGAAGCTCCAGTACCAAGGCGACAACAAACTTCATACGTTCAAGCAAACGTGGTTGGAAGTTCTCGGGCGTATGAGACCAGAGGACATACCATCCAAGACAGCTCTCCGTGATTGCTTGCGTAGCAAGATCAAGGACTCGCCCGCGATGAAGATGGATTTGGGCATGCATTACAATCCCTGTTCAAAGCAACTGACCTTCCGTTCGTTGGTATCTAACCTTCTGACCTTTTCGTTTTGGGAGCATTAAGGGGCTTTGAAAGCAGGATTTAAAGTGAGCATTGAAGACCATGAACAGTGAACAGTGGACAGCAACAGCAGCAAATGCAGGAGCAGCAGCAGCCGGAACAGATTGCAACTTGGAATGGGGGGGGGGCAGGGAAAGCTCATCAACGATGTCATGAATATATTGTTGCCAGAGGGAATATACACGACACTGTTCTCTGTAGTAGTAGTAGTAGTAGTAGCAGCAGCAGCAGGAGTAGTAGTAGTGGTAGTACCAGCAGCAGCAGGAGTAGTAGCAGCAGCAGCAGGAGTAGTAGCAGTAGTAGTAGTAGTAGTAGAAGTGGTAGTAGTGGTAGTTGTGGTCGTCATGGTAGTTGTAGCGGTAGTGGTAGTGGTAGTGAAAATGGTAGTGGTAGTAGTACAGTATAAAGTGGTAGTAGTAGTAGTCGTAGTACTAGTAATAGTCGCAGTAACGACACTGTCCCCTGTCCAATGTGCATGTGCTCGCGCGCGCTGTTGACTGTGCTCGCCCACGCTGCGCGCGCACTGCGCGCACACTGCGCGCACACTGCGCGCACACTGCGCGCACACTGCGCGCGCGCTGTTGCCTGTGCTCGCACACACTGCGCGCGCTGTTGCCTGTGCTCACCCACGCTGCGCGCGCACTGTTGCATGTGCTCGCACCCGCTGCGCGCGCACTGCGCGCGCACTGCGCGCGCGCTGTTGCCTGTGCTCGCACCCGCTGCGCGCGCACTGCGCGCGCACTGCGCGCGCGCTGTTGCCTGTGCTCGCACACACTGCGCACGCTGTTGCCTGTGCTCACCCACGCTGCGCGCGCACTGCGCGCGCACTGTTGCCTGTGCTCGCCCACGCTGCGCACGCACTGCGCGCGCACTGCGCGCGCACCGTTGCCTGCTCACCCAAGCACTGTGCGCGCACTGCGCGCGCACTGTTGCATGTGCTCGCACACACTGCGCGGACTGTTGCCTGTGCTCACCCACGCTGCGCGCGCACTGCGCGCGCACTGTTGCCTGTGCTCACCCACGCTGCGCGCGCACTGCGCGCGCACTGCGCGCGCGCGCTGCTTTGGCGCTCTGGGGGTTACCTAATAAGTTAGGTTGATTAACATCGTTAGCTAACTACTCTAATTTTTTAATTAACTAGTTGTAAAACCTTGGTTTTATACTTGTGAAAACAAAGAATCGAAGTTTGCACATGCTGGCAGCATGGGATCAGTTGACTGTTTTCGGTAAACACAGCAGGTGCATCTTGATTTTTGAAGCGAAGAAAATCATTGAGGAATGTAACCAAAGCAGAGAAATATATGTGTTGCTGTAAACAGTTTCCTTGTTTAGTCCAGGTGTTCTCACAGCGAGCAGAAAGCTTTTGCAAGCTTGTTGCAGAAGTCCTTGGGAAGCACATTGCATGCTGAGCTGTGCTGGCTGATTCCGTTGTGTGGAAGCCTGTGCAGGCTGTGAAAGAAAAGGGAAGGTCGGAAGCCGTGGAGGCTGCAGTGGCACGTTTCTTGTTTCTTGCCTGAAGGTTGAATTTTGTCGATCCAGGCCGAGCATTTGGCTCTGGCGAGAAGCTCCATATGCAAAACATGTAGGCAACATAGGCACTTGTATGGTGGAAGGCAGTGCATGATGCATGTTGGGGAAACTTTGACATATAAGAGCTTCGCATTTTTTGGATCATGACCGTTCCGGACTGGGCGAGCACTGTGCAGGAGCTGATCGACCAGCCTGATGTGAGCATAAATCAAAAATGCCAGAAGATCATGCTGCTGCTTCGTGAGCGACACCTGCTCTACGACTCTTTTGCGACCCCCATGGACTTGATCGTTCATCCGAAAAATCGTGGAGGTGCCCTCGTAAATCCACACGATGTCGTGTCCAAGGGCGTTCAAATCTCTTCCGTTGGCTGGGATCGCATGAAGTTGCGAGAAGCTGTAGCCATCGAACTTCCGAGGGACGAAGGACTTCGCAAGCACTTTCTCGAGATCAACACCCGCCTTGCCGAAATGTCCGAAGGCCGCTTGGCGAAGCCAACTGGTAAGGAGAGGTGGGCAACTCTTAGCTGTTCGCACACCACTGCCTTCGTCAAAGCGATGGCCAGCGGATGCGGTCCCAAATGTGGTTTGTCACTGGACGAGTGCATGCAGAGTGGGGACGACTTTGCGAAGCTTCTCAAAGAAGGGTGGAGCTGGCGAGTCCTGGCGGCGGAGGTCGAGGAAAGGGTGCCAGCCTTGCCGGGGCTACTGCAGCAGGGCTTGAACTCGGACCTCGCGATCGGCAAACCGCCTAGCGAACTGGAGGTCGCGATGTGCATCTCGCAGCTGTATGCTGCCCAACCGGACGGAGCCAAGGACCTCGGGAAAGCGGTAGCAGCAGCAGGCAGCTCGAACCCTCCGTGCAAACCGTATATTTCGGCCATTGCGGATTTCGTTCAGCAGTTCGCAGGGGGTGAATCCTTCAAAGTTCTGAAATATATGGATGCCATGGCCCGGTCTTATGCCGGGAGCACGATGCTGGGCGCCGACTTCACGAAATGCCTCGCATACACCGACTTCAAAATCGCTACCACGAGATGTCCGATGACTCGCATTGCTTTGGCCTTGACCCAGATCACTGCACCAATGCAGTCATCGACGGGTTCAGCCGCCTTCTGACGAAGGCGGACTTCGATCGTTTGAAGTCCAAGAAAAGCGAAGCGGATTTGGTGAAAGCAGAAGCGCTGATGCAACAAGCATGGGCAGTGGTCGAAGCCGAAGCTTCCGACAAGGCACATCTTCAGATGGCTTTCTGCCGCTATCAAATACGCATCATCCTCTACATGCTCGGCAAGCAGACGAAGGGCAGGGAGGCCAAGGAGTACGACTCCCTGGCCACGTTGTCGAGCATGTTCAGCCAGGAGACCTTGCAGGTTCAGCCCGGGCAGGCTTCCCAGGCTGCAGCTTCTTCAGGGGAGCAGGTCCGAGACCTAGAGGCCTCGAATGATCAGACTTTGATCGCAAAGCAGCAGAACAAGCATGTGAAGGTTGGCCAGGCTTACTTGATCAAAAGGACGGAGCCCGTGGAGGCTGACAAAGACAAAGTCTTTGTTTTGAAGGACTTGCAGCAGGATGGTGCTACCTTGGAGCATCGGCCTTTCTTTGGCGAGCAGGTGCAGGTCGAGAAGGTGGCTTTGCAGGACCTCAAGCAACTCAAGGAATGGACTAAAGCTGTGCCTGCTTTGGTCGAGGAGGAAGCTCTTCAGAAGCTCTGGCCCGGTGATTCCGAGATCTTCCAGGACGAGCTGGCACGAGCAGAAGACCAAGGGCTTCTCTACAAGAAATACTTGGAGTTTCCTGACAGCAGACAGATACTGGAAAGGTTTCGCCTTAAGTTTCTGGCATAACACGTTTTTTTTCGACCTTTTTTCTTTCAAGCCTATGTTTTCGAACCTGGTTCTGGTAACCTTGTTTTTGTAGTTTGTCTTTCACTCATGAGAAAGGTTGGGCGATCCAGACGTCCGGCCAAGCAACAACGGCTTGCTGTTCTGCAACTGCTCCTATGCCAAGTTTGACCTGCAACTCTATCCTTTGGGGCAGCTGCAAAAGGTGCAGAAGCCTCGCCCCCAGGATGTTGTCATCCAGAAAAAAGGAATGAAGCATGACTGCTACGTTGTTTCGCCCGTTCGCTGGGACATCCAGAAATCATCCGGTTACTTTTGCCCGTACTGGATGATCAAGGAAGCAACGGAGAGCCAAACGGCTACCCTCACCAGAACCACGAAGAAGATCGGCGACATGGTGGTGCCTGTTTACCAGAACAAGGTTGCATTGAAGATGGGCGACCAGCTGCTCCTGGAGCCGAAGACGGAGGCTTCTGGCAGTGGCAAGAGAAAGCGCCATTAGATGATTTACTTTACACGTGTTTTCCGTCGGCAGATCTCCAGCACAGTGGATGTGCAGGAGATTCGCTTCGCTTTTGGCGCCCACGAAGATTTACAGACCATTCCCAGCAGACGAGAGAATTTTTTTCGCTTCGGGTCATGTATACAGAGGCTTCCAAAGTCAAACCCGCTGCAGCAGCTCATGTGCAAGCTTCCAAAGTCATCCTTCTCACACTTCCTGCCTCAGCCCTGACAGGCTTCTGTATTCGTGCCTCTGCAGCTTCTTCTGCCTGCAAGGTTTGGCTCGGCAGCATGCAGGTCACTCGGCAAGTCATTCTGCAGTACAAGGGCGGCCCCAAGGTCCCTGTTTCCGAGGGCCTGGTGCATGCGGCGGACAATGGCCAGCAATATCTTCGGTTCAGGCCGAGCAGCACGAGTCTGACGAGAGCCGTGCTGGGGCACATGGAGAAGTTCAAATCCCTGAAAAACCCAAGCTTGAGCTGCAGCCCACAAGTGTCGCAGATCCGGGAAACGGTGAAGGCCAAGATCCTGGAGATGGGAAGCAAGGAGCAGAATCCGGATGGCAGTGAGAGGGACAATTTGTTCGATGCTCCTGTTGTCAATGAAGAGGAGGATTCGGCCAATGAAGTCACCGCCCGAAAGCTTCGCGAAGCTTTGGAGAGAGCACCAGATGTTATGAAGATAGATCTCGGTGGCAAGCAGGTGGAGGTCTTGAAGCCCAGGAATTGGCGAGAAACAGACATCTTGGTCAAGCTCGAAGAGTCCGACCTTGAGCATGTCTTCGATTTCCTCATGGTCGATGTGGACTCGGTGTACGAGAAGCCAAAGCGACCTTACGTCCGATCTGGCAGGTTTGCGGGCAAAAGGAAAGCCGATGAGGACGACAAGCAGAGCGATTCCGGCTGAGAAGACCTTGGCTGCATGAAATCTGGCGGGCCGTGCGAAAAGGAGTGTGCAGAGGCAGCTTCCAGCCCGTGCAGGCTTCGGAGTTCAGCCTTTGAAGGCTCTTGCTGTGTTTATAGAAGTTTCAAGGAGCCTGTGAAGGCTGTGTGTGCATCGTGCAAGAGCCTGTGAAGGCTGCAGGAGTAGTAGCAGGAGCCTGTGAAGGCTACAGTATAGGAGTTTAAATGAGCCTTTGCAGGCTACAGCAATGCATGCATGTGGGGTGAGAAGAGCAAAGAGCCTGTGGAGGCTGCAGGAGTAGTAGCAGGAGCCTGTGAAGGCTACAGTACAGAAGCTTAACTGAGCCTTTGCAGGCTACAGCAATGCATGCATGTGTGGTTGGAAAGACACCCATATTCTTGCAGGTGCACCCTCTCAAGCATGGCGGGACGGGACTGGCGGGACTGGGCGGTGGATGAAGACCCCAACGAGGCCCGGGTGGTTTCGTCATGCTGCGACACTACAAGCATGACTTTCGAAGCTGGCAATAAATTTGCTGGTTTGCTTTTCGCATAGAGTATGATGGATGCATGCAGGCGCCATGGAAGCGAATGAAGTACTCCTCCGAGCAGGCCGTGGTCGGTTTCTTTCGGAGCCCTTACAGGCTGTTGCTTCCTAGGCTTTGTACAGCATCCTCCCCATGCCTGATTCGGCAGGTGAGACAAAGCCTGGTGCATGCGGTTGCCAATGCCGTGGCTCCACCGACTGGGGAGCCTGCTAGTGCAGCTGCTGCAGCTGCAACACTGCAAGCGCCAGGGACAGCAGCAGGCAGGGCCAAGATGCTGCCCACGGGACCTCTGCATCAGCAGTGGCAGCAGCAGCCAGTGCAGCAGGAGCAAGCCGACAGGCTCCCTGCGGAGCAGATGCAGTGGCAGCAGCAGCAAATGCCACAGGAGCAAGCTCAGAGGCTTCGTGTAGAGCAGATGCACTGGCAGCAGGAGCAACCTCAGAGGCTTCCTGTGGAGCAGATGCACTGGCAGCAGGAGCAACCTCAGAGGCTTCCTGTGGAGCAGACGCAGTGGCAGCAGCAGCAGCAGCAACACATGCACCACATGCATCAGGACCAAGCTCAGAAGCTTCGTGTGGAGCCTCAGCTGCAGCAGCCGCCGCCCCAACAGCAGGTACTTCTACCTGGCACAGCTGTCGGCGGAAGTCAGCTTCCTTCAGGTTCTGCATCTCCTGGTTTGGTGAATGACGAGGCCTCGGGCTCGGGACAGCATGGACGGCCTGATCAGCCGCCCTACGAAGGATGGTCTTCTGTTCCTGAGCAACCTGCAGACTACCAGGAGTCCTGGGAGGACAAATGGACGGCAGCTGGTTGGGTCCAGGACGACGACAACCCGCACATATGGTGGCGATATGGCTGGCAACGATGGAAGCAGCCAGATTCTCGTTCGCATGGGCAGATGGGCTAATTTCTTGGAGGGTTGCAGGGTTGAGGGATCCACATATATGCAGCGACCAGCCCAGGTCGAGGGCAACCAGAACCGGTCTGGATGGGCGACGAAGATGGCCGTGATCTGCCACAGGTTCCAGACTGGGCAGGTGGACTCTCTGAAGCGGGACCTCCGCCGCATCAGCGAGCACCCTGGGCTGCAGGCTCCCATGCGGGACTTGAAGAGGATGCTGAGAGAGCGGGGAGACGATGCCTATCGCTACTACCTGTCTTGATGGACCATGCTGAAGCAGTGGCGAGTGAAAAAGAGACCGAGTTTGAGTGGAGGGAGCCCTTGCAGGCTGCATGGAAACTTTTTTGTAGCAGCTACATAGGAAGCCTGTGCAGGCTTGGGATCCTCTACATAGGGAGCCTGTGGAGGCTGCATGGACACCAGCCTTTGGAGGCTTCCGCAGAGATACATATGTAGGGAGCCTGTGGAGGCTGCATGGACACCAGCCTTTGGAGGCTTCCGCAGAGATACATATGAGGAGCCTGTGTTGGCTGCAGGGGAGCCTGTAGAGGCTGCGAAATAGAGCCTTTGCAGGCTGAGGCTTCCCAGGCATTTGGCCGTTTTTGGTCCTCCTTTAATTAAGAAATACTAGGTTTCTATTAGAAATCTAGCTTCCTTTAAGTAAAGGAGGAACAAAATGGGCCGAATGTGTAGCCTGAACCCCAACCCAAGACCCTGTACTTTTGCAAAAATCTCACTAGCTTTCAAGCCTTGGATCCCTCAACCGTGACCTTCACCCCCAATCCGAAACCCTGTCGGGTGCACTTGGAGAGCCAATAGCGGCTGCTTGTCACTGATTGAAGGACTTTTCAAGAGAATGGTGCACGGCCGCCGCAGCCATTTTCAGACGGGGCAAAGCTAATCTTCGCATGGGGACCAGCCTATGTCCTCTAAAGCAGCATCTGTCCGGGAATTCAGAATCTGAATTCAGATACCCAGGGACTGTTCCGGAAATTCAAAATCTGAATTCAAATACACAGGATTGTTGGCGAATTCAAAATATGAATTCAAATACCGAGGCCCTGTTCCGGAATTCAAAATATGAATTCAAATGCCGTGTGTGATTTTGAAGACTTCGGGTCTTCAGTACCAGCAGACACAACAAAACATGCCGGAGAGGTGCCTGCATAGAAGGACGTGATAGAGATTTCATCTCGGTTGCAGCCATGCAGACTGGTGCACGGACCCCGAGGCGGATGTGTGCTACGAGTGGCTGCGGCAGAACGTGCGAGCCGCCGCATCGCTTTTGCTGCGGTGGCTATAGAAGGAGCAGAGGATCCGAGCACAGCACAAGATGTGACAGAGGCCAGGTGGATCCCACGGCTGTACGAATCTGCCGCCGTCTGGACTGCGATTTGTTGGTGACGGGCACTCACTTGTACTGCTGCAGTGCCTGCCGGGGAGGCTATGGTCATTCGCCTCAATGCCCTGTACGTCAGCTTGAGTGCAGGCGAATCCAGGAGCAGCAGAACCGGCAGCAGGACGAAGGCCAACAGCAGCAGCACGGGCAATTGGAGCAGCTGGACAACGGCAGCATGGACGAGGCCGAGGACCGGGACGGCGGTGGAAGATCTTGGCTGGACGACATGGACTAGGTAGGATCCAGCGATGCCCGTCTCTATGAAAAAAAATTGCTCGCCCGTATATAGAAAGCTTGCAGACAACTTCTGCAAGCTTTCTATAGTTGTGCAGCATTTAATGCAATGAGCTTCTGAAGGCTATAGTTGCACAGCCTTGAGAGGCTCATTGCTTCATGCTCTTCTTGGCCTATACAGGCTTTAAACACCCCAGCCTTTGCAGGCTAGGAAACTTCCCTATATACTTCTCTTCTTAGCCTCTAGAGGCTACCCAGTGAGTCCTTGCACCTCTTTTTCTTTCGGAACACAGTTGCTGTGCCATGCTTGGCAGTCGTGGCCCAGAAGTTAGACTCCGAGGGGTGTGCCGACCGCAGAGGCCATGTCTTGGACAGCCAAAGACTTTGTGGTTGAGCTGGAGGCCTGCGAGAAGCTCCTCCAAGCTCGGCCCACACAGCAGATGCAGGATACACTCTTTGCTCAGATGCAGTCCAAGCTGAACAACATTGGCCAAGTAGGCCCGTCCGAGATGGTGGCCTGCTACGAAGCTTTGGAGGAAGCTGGGGTGCCGAATGCCATGAAGCAGAAATTGCAGGAAACCTTGGATGTTCTCGCTGCTGGTGCTCATCAGAGCAACGGGGCCACGAACCTCGCAGCAGTGGCGCAAACCTGCACCAGCTTCGAGCTTTACTTGACGGAGACGGATGCAGCCGCCTTGGGAAGCTGTGGGATGTGGGAAGGCTGTCGCCACATCGCATTCCGGCTTAAAATGATCGGAATCAAAGGAATGAAAGAATCCTTGAAGAAGCGATGTACCGCCATCCTGGTTTGGTACCATGTTCACCACCGAGGCAACCCGGTGCCGGCAGTTCGTGTGGCTTACGATCTGAGTCTGCATTTGATGACAGAGCTCAAGCAATCCAACACAGCGATCCCAGCTGGAGCTTCTTCTCTTGCCCGGTACCCTGTGGATCCTATGCGGTTGCCAGCCTCCCACCTTCAGGCTGCCTATCCAGATGGACTTCCAGCCAAGAAGGACCTGAACGGGCTGGCCACCTTGATGCAGCATCACATCTTCGTGAGATCCAATGGCAAGTTGCTACAGGACCATGTGGGTTTAAGAAGATATCAGATGTAGCCAGCAGACCAGCCTTCCAAGGCATGAAGCCCTATACTCCTGACCCTAAGCCCTTTTCAGTTGTTCTGTGGGTATGAAGGTAGCATCCTGAAGTCAGGCCTCTGTCTGGATTTTCTTTTGGCAGGAGTCCCAGCCCAAAGTCGTACAGCCTGCAGTTGCTGTGCAGCCACCGCCGGTACCGGATGGCGAAGCCAAATTCGTCCAAGGCCTCATGAAGTTCTTGACGGCTGCCAACAACATCGTCAACCACACCGAGCCGACAGTGCAGTTCCTGACGAAGCCGACTGCAGCGAGCAGCAGCAAGCAGGAGCCTGTGCAGGCTGCAGGCGAGCAGAGCAAGGGTTGCTTGCCCTTGAAGAACGGGGAGCAGAGCGAGAGCCCCCCTTCTGGAGCAAAAGCGCCGCAGTCCAGTCCAGCCTTGCCCGGACAGAAGCAGAAGACTTTGGAGGAGTTCGAAGCTGAAAACCTCGCCCTGCTGCAGGCCAGGGAGGACGGGAAGAAGGCAGCTTCTACGAACAAGGTCGGGAAAGACAAGAAGGGACCTAAGGCGAAGACAGAGGATCCAAAGGCGCTCAAGTCTGGAAAGCCTCAGGCCAAGGGCAAGCCATCTTCCAAGCAGAAGGTTTTCAAGAGGCCGGCAGCGAAGGCCTTGGCAAGGCCTGATCGTGGAGCCTTTGAAGGCATGGGCTGCCTGAGATGCAGAGGGAGCCGCTTTGGATGCCCGACCTGCTTGGAGGAAAGCTTCGGAGGGCTACGATTGACGAGGAGCGAATGGTTGCAAAGGGCTTCTTTGCACAACTACAA